GAAACTCGAAAATGCATTATCTGAATTTACCTGGAGAGCGTTCAGCTGAGAAATGACTCTAACCCGCCATATTGTCGGCTTTGTAGCTCAACACGTCATTTTAAAATCACGTTCCACTGAGGGTGTCTGGCTTTGATAGAACCATCCAACCGGGCAAACACTGCTCTCAGAAAATTGGGCAAATGATTTCTTTGGATTGAGATTGTGGCTGTATTGTCTCCACCCCCACCACCTTCTTACTCCTTCACTCTTTTCCTTTCTCACTGCACAAAAAGCTAATCTGTGACAAATGCTCGCATCAGTCCTAAACTAAAGTGCTTTTATTTTTCTTAAAAGTGTGCAAATGAACAAGCAAGGTGAAAGTCAACATCTTTGGAGGACAACACGCTCTCCCAACACGCACACTTGAAGTTGGACACCATGCTTTCTTGACTCATCTAACCCTACTTTTCTATGTAGATTATGAGAAAGGTTCCAAATATTGAATCTTTTGTTCTTTCGGCTTATTTTGAAACTAAATTTGCCTACTATGGGTGGGAGAGACATTTGTGAAAAGCCTAAGGGCTAAACATCCTTTACTGTGGAGCTCCATTTCCTTGTCTGATTCCAGCAAATGGGACAAGATGATGGCCATGCCAGCCGATGACTTTGATTTTTTTAAAGCATATCCCACTACTTTCACATTGCTTTATTGATTGTCGACAGACCTCATTTTGTTCCTCTGCTTCCACAAAGCTCTGTTTGTAATGCGATCACCCAGATGAGGATGGCAGAGATGGACAGATACTAATCCCCTCTTTCTCCCAGTCTCAAGCATCACCTCCAATGAATGTTTTCATTTACAGGTTTTTGCTTTATTCGTGTGAGGACCATCTTTGTCAAGTTTTGTCATTGCCCAAGGCACCATAGGTCTGGGTATAATCCACACTTATGAGTTCATTTTTGCATTCAGCAATCTCCCCATTGATTTATTGCAAAAGAAAAGGGTTAAATGACACTAAGCACGCTCTACAAAAGTAGTCTGGTCTGTCCGTGTTTGATTTTCTGTTCATTCTCAAACTTTTCTGGCTGGACGCTTAACGTTACATGTACTCTCGGCTCTGAGGACTTGACACATTCCTCCATGTTGAACAACGCAACGCAGCAGTGAAGAGTTGGAAGCATCTGCCTTGTCACTCCACCCAGATGGCTGCAGAAAGAATGTAAATTGGTTCATTAACCTTACAGTGCTTTAACCAGTGGGCCGTGCAAAGGGCTCATTCAATCTGGGCTTACTTGAATTTTATTAATGTCATTTAATAACATCAGGAAACTTTTGCTAATGGCCTGAGGTGGTTTTCTGTAGTGATATCAAATGCTGTAGTAATTATACATGACATCCCTCTGATTAACGCTTCTGTGATTATTACACCATGTAAAAATCCCATTTACTCCCTTTAAAACACAGTTATCCATCTTCTCGGTTCAAAAACGTTTAGAAGAAACATTATCACAGCACTTGCCCTATCCTGACAAGTAGGCTTGGATATTTAGCGCCAGACAATAGAACGGCGCAAAGAAAAAGACGACAGGGGGGTTAAAATTTGAAAGGGATCTGCATTTTCATGCGGCGTTTCCCCCAGTGCGTGCAGAGTGTGTGAAAAATTGGTTTGTTGTGAGTATCTGTGTGTGAGCTGCCAGCAATGAGGGCTTGCACCTGGAGCAGGGAGGAGCAAGAAAGGGGCCAAGGGTCACCTCATGGGATAAACAGGATTGGAGTTCACCCTTTTCCTAAAGGAGGCCAGACGGCCCCCGCGGCTGCATCGCACAAGCAAGCCTTTCACGCCCCTTCCTTCCTTTTCCCTTCTCTCCTTCCTCTCCTGGTCACCTCTCTTTCTTTTCTCCTTTGGAAAGACACAGTAATCCATAACCCACTCAACTATCAGCGGCTCAATTATCCCTCCGGTTCCCCTATTTTCTCCCCTCGGATGAAGATTCAAAAACAATTAACCTCTTCACGGCTGGGGACTTTTCCTAGGAAAGGGCATGGTTGTAATTGAATGACTCCACCATTTACATTCCTGACCATGACTTCACTCCTTCACGCATAAATCTGGTTACCAAAATCCTAATCTGTGGCTTTGTGGTTGTTCTGTTATTATCATGGCTTGTGTATTATCAAGCTTTGAAGACAGTTTTACTTCATGCAGGAATTAACCACATAAATCGATGTTAACATTTTCAAAAGATGCTGGTGACCTAAATCTTAATAAATTGTTTATTTCCAGACCACACGGTCAAGTATAAGGGATGCTATGGAGGACAAACCCACCGTGTGAGCAAAACAGAAGCCAGTAAAAGCTAGTAGACAGCAGTTTTCAGAAAATGGCACAACTAGACTACTTCACACCAAGTGTCTATAAGCCATAATGCATCCCCCACATCTTCAGCCTTCAATAAAATGTTCTCTTCTCCTCCTTCGATACAGAGGGGCCTCCTATTCATCTCCAGGTAGAGAGTCTCAAAGTCTAGGAGGGAGGAACAGCTTGTTGCACCCATTGAGCTTTTTATTACTTCCCCTTCAAAGGGTGGTGGCAGGAGAAGAGACAAGCCCAAATCTTGTTGATGCCATGATGCCAAAAAAAGTTAGAAAAACAAACATGTAGAGAGGATTTCAACTCGAGCTTCGTGCAGATTTTGCCACCGCTCGGTCATCAAAACATCCTATTTGAGCAGATTACTTTGTTGTCAATGCACAGCAAGAGCCCGTCCAGCTGTTAAGGGATAATCCTCAAACAAACAAGTTTATCAAAAATGGACACATTTGAGAAAAACAACTGGCAGAGCACCAAAAAAAAAAAAAAAAAAAAAAAACACCATCTTCGTCAACTAGAAACAGCAAAATGTCTAAGAAAAGACTCCACCCGGCCATTTTATATAAGACCAGCTTAGTTGAACATGTAGCTAGCCCGGCACGAACAAAATGATGTAATTCAAGACCAACATGCATCGTGAAAAACAAAGAGATGCAGAAAACAACAAAAATGTTGAGTAATTTGCCAAAGAATAAGAAAAATATTTGCTACTTTCAACCTAATCTTTAAGCAAATGCAAGACCTTCAAATGACACAACTTGAAGACGCCCGCTGTAAGAGCTAAAGAACGTCAAGAACAAAGCCTCCTCGAAAAGACGAAATAATCAAAAAGTAATAATAATACCGTTTTTGAAATTGAAACAATGCATTGATAAAATCGTCATAAACGTGTCGGTTTTTGTGAACAAGATGAAGATTTAGACTGAGTATTGCCACACGAAAAGAAGCTAAAAGCAAGAAAATATTAAAAATAAAAGCCTTCTGTGGAAAACATTTGCGAAAAAAACCCCAATACAGCCTAAATAATCTAGAAAGAGCCACATAGAAGAGCGCAAGAGGAGTTATGATCATGTAGATGCTCGTCTACACAGCCATCTTGTGAACGCACACATACTCAAGAGAACCCAGAAGAAATCTTTGATGTTTCCTCATAGGAGTGTGTATGTACTGCAGCTCTGAGTCACCCATTCTCATCCAAGACCCAGCAACATCAGCACAATAGCAATCAAACTGCAACCCTTGCACCATGCAAAGACAAACTTACAAACAATATTGTGTGTCTTGATTGGAGTTGACTAGTGGTACAAAAAAAAAAAAAACAGACGCATGGACAGGACAGGAACCAATAATAAAAAAAAAAAGAAAAGATGGAAACCTTAGAACAACTGGCTGTGCTTCAGACAGACTCCAACTTCTCTTGATCATCATGTCTAGCCTTCAGGTGTCTGGGGTCGGCCAAGTGTAGGAGCTAGTTAGGTTGAGGGGGCGGTGGGAGGATGGGGTGGGTGAGTGGAGATAACACAGCAGCCAGACAAAGAGGGAATAAGAGTGCTGCCTACATACCACCAGCATCAAGGAAGAGAGGGTGGGAGTCAAGGGAGGGAGCGACAAGAAGAAAAAGAGGAGGCTTATAAAAATTTGATTAGACAATCCTTCGCTGAAGTGACTTTCTGTGTCGGTTTGCTTTTCTTTCTTTCCCCCTCCTCCTCTCTCATCTTTCCTGTTCCCCTCCTTCCTCCAGACTGCTGCCTTAGAGAACAGGGCAGACAGATTTTATAGGTCCTAATTAAAGCCATCTGAAGCCTTTCAAAACATCAAATGGCTCTGGTCCCCCCAGTCTTTTTTTTTTTCCGCCTCCGATTGTGTGGAAAGCATGGAAAAATCAGAGAGCACCTTTTTTTGTTGTTGTTGTTGTTTGACTCCCAAAATGTACATACATTTTGTATCCTTTGCAAGCTCCTCCTTAGACACCCCCATCCCCCCTACAATCATAATTCCCAATCAATAGCAATAGAGTTCACGGAGTGACATGACCTCAGAAAGTGGTCATAAATTTTAGTGACCCACCTGTTCCATGCATTAAATAATTGGAAAGCATTTTAAAGTAACCGTTTTGAAACTGTATACATCCACCCTTATGGCGGGTAGAAGTGAAGTGCGCTTCAAGCACTCCATTTATTTCTCCTGTCAACCCCCCCTAATTGTCCTCGTTGAGCCATGTGGACCGGTTGCACAGCCTGTCTGACTGGGGTCATCGGGTTTAGCGTGTGCTTTTTTATCTATATTTCATCCTATGGCGCTGCGCGGAGACAGCCACACATGCACAATGAGAACATTCAGAGGCACACAAAGAATGTCGACAGAGCGCAGATTCTTTCCAGATTAACTCCAGGAAAAACAGTTTTGAGCACAGAATAGTACAAAGGGGGTTTAAATGTTTAAATACCCTTTAAATGGTTACGTTTTTAATAAATAAATAAATAAATAAAAAAAACAGAAAGCATTCCGCGCAAAAAGTGCCCCGCGAGGTCATGCGCTTCATGAGTTCAGTTGAAATTTAGGAGATATAAAATCAATGGTTTTAAAATACAAAACGTATAAAAGACAAAAATAATTTGAAATAAAACATCTAGGATCGATACTTACTGCTGACTGAAGTAACTTCTGGGCGTTTATTGTCTCGCCTCTGGCTGCGTCTCTCTGTTTGGACCCAGAATAAGTGTCTTCCAGCAGCGACGCGCGGTGCTCGTCGGAGGCGCGGAGCTCGTGTGGAGTAACACCTGGTCAGCCGTGAGGAGGGACACACAGTGGACGTCCGATTCCGCCGATGTCAGGTCTTCAGTGATGACTGCACTCGCCGGGGATTGAGCGTTGAGAGGACGAGGGAGCGCACAGAGAGGCGTCATGTGAGCCGGGGAGAGGTGCGCCATTGGCCAGCCGGGGAGAAGTGTGATAAGGCTCCTCCGTGCGCCATTGGCCCAGGACGGACGCGGAGGCGCCTCCTCACCAGCCTGTGCACAAGAATGTGAGTGCGCCTCAGTGTTCATAATTTTCACGGGGTGGGGTGGGGGTGTTGGTTGCTGATGGGGGCATAAGTAATAAACTGCTACCGAGATGTTGTGTGTTCTTTTTGTTCTTTTGTTTTTGGTTGTCGAGGAGTGGAGATAAAACACCCCCCCCCCCCCCCCCCCCACCCACCCTTTAGACTGAGAGGGTCCACACGTCAAGTTTAGCATGGCTGACCTTGAGAATAAAATCACTCTAAAGCAAATTGTAACTTTTAAGATTCTGTCTTCATAACAAAAGAGTCAACGTTACAACAAAGAGTGGGTCTCCAAACATCATTTGCACTAAATGGAGACTTGTCAGTCCCTCAATCTTTCCATAAAAATAACCAGTTTTAGAGTTTCCATTGTTCTGTTTTGACTTGCTCTGGTAACTTTTAGTGTTTATGATGAAATATAGCCTCGTGAACTCCACACACAATCATGTGTGTCTAATTTTACAGCAATGTAACATAAGAAATGTTAACAAGAAGAAAACTGACACAAAAGTCAGATTTTAATTTGCTAATAGAACTATATATATATATATATATATATATATATATAAAAGAGGAAGCATTATAAAACAGTTAAAAAGATAAACCAGATGTTTTAAAATAATGTCAGGAACATTTAGTAGTTCATTGTGACACGTTTCTACACTCACTTTATGAAAAGGTTATTGAACTTTAGGTTGCAAAGACCCACTCCAGTTATTACAATAAATGATTTATCCATGAAAAGTTCAAGGTAATTCATTATTCAATAGACACAGAGTTCATTAAAAAAGTCAAATGTAACCTGTAGGTATTGAGGTAACAATCAGAAGCCCAGCCTGTTTTATATTCTCTTTGAAATTTAAAGCATTAGCATATTTTCCTCCTATTTGTGCTTCTCAATTTTTTTTAATTCCCATACCGATTCTTTACACAGTTGGACTTCACAGAGTGTAAAGACACATAAAAGAGCATCCTTTCGGTGTCTCGCTATGGTTATATGGAAACGCTGAAACTCCAGGTTTTGCATGGGTGGGAAATAGAGCGCATGTAATCTGAAGCACGCATCTTCCCCTGCTCAGGCTGCAGCGTTAAATCGATATTCCGCAAAGCTTTCCCTTGTTTTCACATTTACTTGACTGCTGCCGTAATGTGCCGCGAGGGTCGAGCAGCCTCTCCTTGATTTTTGTGGCACTTGCATGCCCTCCCACCCCGCATTCATCCCCCCAGCTCTGTCCTCCCTGTTCCTTCTCCTCCACCTCTTCCTTCACTTCATTTCCCTTCACTCCATGGCAGACGCCCTCGTTTGGATGGCTCCAAGGCGATGCTCCTGTTTCGTTTGTCTCCTGAGTTAACAGGAGGCGGCAGGAATAAGGCACGGCGTTATCTCAACACAAACCATTATCTCCACTTTGCTCCTCCAACACCATGAAATTGTGATTATTAGTTACTTAAGGAGTGGATTCAAGGATTTTGAGGCTTGCTGCTTCACTTAAAGAACATGAAGTATGTTGCACAACACATCACACATGCACATCTTTAACATTTCTCAAACAAAGAATATTCCCTCTTTTCCTGTCCCTTCTGAGTACAATCAGTACAATCTTGCCCATCACCTTGGAGAGTAAAGCTAATGGTATTATGATTGGACTGGACATGTGACAGCAGTGTGTAGCACCATAAAAAGCAGTCTATCATTTCCTTTTCAAGATTTAAAAGCTCATTGTGCATTCTGGTGTACAAAGATACGTTTTTATGCTTTCACACACACTCGCAAGCACCCTACAGTTACGAAAGCCAAACCCTTCCCCTGCAAAATGGGTCATACACTGCAGTCACTTTATTCCATCAAATGCATTGTGCTTGTGCGAGTGCAAGACATGCAAATGTGTAATTAAACATCAAAGGCAAAACTCTGGTGTTCGAACACGCAAGTCTTCTCTGAACCAGGACTCGAGCAAGTCGAGCCATTGAGTGTTTTCAGCAGTTTTATGATTTAGTTTGCACGTAAAGCCAAAATGTTGCTCTTTCCCTAATACCTTCAAACAGTCAAGAGGAAGGTGCTCTCCCTCTACAATAAACTCCAGTGGCATCATTTTTTTTATTCCACTGCAGTGCCCTGTTTGCTCGACACGACAGGAGGTTCAGCAAACGTTTGAACGTATAGGATTTTCTCCAAAGACATAAAATAAAAGCACCAACCTTTGGTTCATGTACAAAGATCCGCTGTCAGGCTAAGAGAGACACACAGACACACACACTTGCAGATATTTAACCACTGTGTAATGAATTTGAGCTGTAGGGTTCAAAGCCTTGCCAATCAAAGAGGGAGCTCTATGCTGTCGTATTATAGACCCATCGCTGTGCGAGCTAATCTGTGATGTGCTCTAGCCCTATATTTAGACCAGTGTTTTGTGAACACTTAGCATAATTTGCTGAGCCGACAGAAACCTTTCAAAGCCCTTAACCTCATCTTTTTAAAACTCATTTTGCCATTCTTCAGCTGTGCATTCCAAAACACCTGTTTTCATCTTTGTTCCCTCAACAGCTCTGAGAGCCAGTTGTTTATTTGTGAATTGTGATGGTGGTGAGGTGCTGAGATCACAACTGTTAATGTAGACAGGTAACTGCTGATTGTCTAAGTTGCTCATTAAAGATTTTAATTTAATTTAATTTTTTTATTTTTTTTTTTTTGGGGGGGGGGGGCATATTTCTCCCATTTCCATCATACATAACCTAAAAATACAGCTCAGAAATTATGCTCATAAAACTCCAGAGGAAGAAAATCAGTAATACCTCCACACCTGGTTATCATTTAGCTACATTTATTACTATTCAGGGAAGTAAAGCTAATGCCAGTTTGCATGTAGATGCATGTGCACATGTGCATATGCTCTGATCAGGTCTACGTTGGACAGTGAGGGTTGGTCATACCAAAAGCTTTTACCATCTGCTGTGTGGCCTGCACAGGCACACATGTTTACACACAACTGCAAAGACAAAACTGTCTGTCTGGTTAAAAAGCTTGTCTCTTAAGCGTTGTATTCTGTATGCTTTGGCCTCAGAAACAAGCCACACCGGGGGCTTGTGTGGCATCTGCCTCCCTGCTCCTGAAGCCAAGGCATGGGGCCGAGGGAAGGGCCTGGGGCTGAGATAAGCGCCTTCTCCCCCGGTCACCGCTACGCCGTGGGGACCGGGGAGGCCTGAAGCCTCAGCTGAGCATCACTGATAGTATCCACAGGAGTGTACATGTGTGTGCCGTTGGAGCGTTCACGGTGCACACGCTTTTGCACATTTGACGTACAAGGCAAATGTCACAGCTAAGACAAAATAAAATGACTGTCCCCAAAGTATTAAAAGTTCTGCAGCATAGTGCCAAATGTTCAGAGAAGTGTGTGCAAATTTGTTTCCTCTTGAGGAATGCTTTAGCTCTAAGGAATTTGCACAAAATCAAAACTGACAAAAACACAAATAATGACTTTTTACTGAAATGGCTTTGTAAATGAAGATATTAACTATGGCACCTTACCTAAGCATTAAATGTGCTATGAAGTAGATTTCATGGCTTTTAAAATTGCAGCAACTAATAGTAAACTAAGTATTGGTAAGCACTATAACTGAGCAGAACAAGTGCAATGATCCAATTTGCACATTGCTAACTATAAGTAACTATGTGTAAAACAAAACAAAAGCATGTTATGAAAAGACAAAGCATGTAAAATGTGTTGTACATTGCATTAATGCATCTGACAATGACATCAGTGAATGTGGCTTTCACAATGTTGCCCACTGTATTAAATCTTGGTGTTTTTTTTTTTTTTCTTCTGCGCCCTCATTTACAACGTTAGATTAATTTGACTGCAAGCAGCAAATCAATCTGCTCTTGTTCACTCTCTCTAATTTATTGTTTATTTAACTTGAGTGTAATCTAGTCTTTTGTTAAATGGCAGGAAAAAAAAAAGATCTGTCTTTGTTCAGCAGCACTGACCTTATCAGTTCAACTTGTCATATTGGGATAGTCAATTACTCATCATGTTGAGAGTCACATCACCTAATGAGGCAGGGAAGCACATTCAGTTCATTTTATGCATTTTTAATTTGTGTTGATGTTTGAAGTAAAAGCAGATGACAGAAAAATCTGGGGGAAAAAGCAGTTAAAAACCCTTCATAAACAAAAAAAAATGAATACATTAATTATTCTATTATTGTATTATGGTTCTATAGGAACTGGAGAGGAGGTCTTGTGCAACATATAATTTTTCTAATGAAAGCTGTAATGCTCTTAAACTATCTGTTTGTTGGGTTGTGGGTATTATTTTAACCCCCAATAAATCATTACCACATTAATTTTAAAAAGAGTGTATGACAATTAATCACATAGCTTGAATTTAAACCATGCTGCAGGGATCTGAAGCAGCAGCTTTACATTTTATATTCAGGAAGACATCAGTTCAATACTTTTGCAAACAGCTGACACATTGAAAATACTTGTATTTAGAAAAAAAATGTCTATAGAGGTAGGCAGTAAAATTTATACAATAATTGGTTTTAAATAGCAACAACACTAACAACACAAGTGGTGGTTTATATGCGGAGCTGTTTAGTAAACTTTGGGATCCTATTGCACCAGCATTATTCCCTATATGGTTTATGTCTCTGTGGCAATCACATTAATTAATTTTTGCCATGCTCATTATTTTTTGTCATTTAGTGGCATCCAATGGGTCTGGGGGATCTAAGTTGTTTATTTATATTGTCCTTGGTATGAATCAAGTCAAAGACATTTTATATCATCCT